TTGTTATGCCATCTCATGGATCATACCTTTTTGCATCAGGTAATCAGGCCGTAGGACATTGCAACCTGGCAATACGACCCTTTCCGCCCTCTATGCCAAAAAGGCCCCAATCACCTCATTCTAATTACAACCACGAATCTTTTGCATCTCTACTTACCAGTTTTAATAAATGAATAAATGTATAAGTTATGAAAGTGTAAATTGTTTCATTTATATTCAAAACCTTAAATCTGCAATTATGGCACAGCACAATTATTGTTTGGATGGCTCCATTTCTGCCTTGTTTACTGGTACAAATCGTGATCATATCAACCTGCATCCTGGGTATGAATGTATTTGAGAAATAACTTCGATATTAATTGATAATGAGATGAGAAAGGAAGAATGTGATAAATGAGTTTAACCAATACCAGACAATATGAGATTATTATATGAACTTATGAGATCATACACATAAGTTACCATTATCATTTGGTGACTCCTGTTTCTGTCTCCTTGTACAAATCATGACCATATCAATATTGCACCCCTGAGAAATTATAACTTAGATTTTAACCGATAGTAAGATAAGAGCGGAAGAATATGACAAGGTAGTGTTTTACCAATAGAAGTCACTCACTATATTTATGCTTAGGAGATTGCACCTACACAAAGGTTCTCATAATCGTCTGGGGGCACCCATTTCAACCCTGTCTTCTCGAACAAATCGTGACCATATCGACCTGCATCAAGGATATGAATGTATTTGAGAAATTATAACTTTGATATTAATCGATAATGAGATAAGAAAGGAAGAATGTGATAAATGAGTGTTTAACCAATACCAGACAATATGAGATTATTATATGAGCTTATGAGATCATACACATAAGTTACCATTATCATTTGGTGACTCCTGTTTCTCCTTGTACAAATCATGACCATATCAATATTACACCCCTGAAAAATTATAACTAAGATATTAACCGATAGCAAGATAAGAGCGGAAGAATATGACAAGGTAGTGTTTTACCAATAGAAGTCACTCACTACATTTTTGCTTAGGAGATTGCACCTACACAATAGTTCTCATAATCGTCCGGGTGCACCCATTTCCACCCTGTCTTCTCGAACAAATCGTGACCGTATCAACCTGCATCCGCATAGTCCGTGAATAACGCGGAATCAGTAATCCTTATCCTGCTTAACAATGCACAGATAAAATTTAGAATTTAGAAGAATTGCATTCTATTCAGGACGTCGTTAAAGTTAAAAAGAATTCACACGATTGTCTTTTAGCTGATGTGAACAGCATTGGTTATATAATTTTTTGTTTGAACAAACAGCACATCGCCCTTCACTTTTGCGAAATCGTAATTGTGCAAATTTGACACAAATGAAGAGACTTACTTCATTAGTAAAAAAAAATTATTCTCACGATCTGGAAAATAAATGCACGAACGATTACATTAACACGAGTTTTATAAAAGGTTTTAAAATAATAATGGACGAGATTCAGAGATAGGAATGGTTGATTTAGATTGTAATTTGTACTATTTGGAACAAGTTGCATTAACCTATAAGAAATGATTTATTATTAATTGAGGTGTACGAAAATATTACGAAAATTTAACGCATTTACAACACAATACATATGAAAAATTAAAGCCAATGAATTTAGCTATTCTCTTTTATTTATTTCGTGTAGCTTTTTATATTATTTTGGTATGACTTTTAAAATATCTAATGTAATTCAAACTTTTAAGTTAGTTTTGCCTTAGGGCCAAGTTAGTTACATAAACTTTCTGATACGTGTAAATAATCGGCTTAATGATTAAGATAAAAATGAATCATTAATTACATATTGATTTTTTACTGATTAAGCCTTAATCAGTAAAAAATCAATATGTAATTTATGATTCATTTTTAAGTATAACCAGTATTGTAGAGTATTATATGAGCATTATCATGTGAGGCTATTCAATTTGATCAAATTATTCAAACATGTTGGGTTACGTAGGGGGTGGGCATTAGTAATTTCAGTATGTTTGTTAAGACCAGAAACTACTGTCATACAAGGTTTCATTAAAATTGCCAAAACATGTTTTAACTATCAATTAGACCATGATCTCTATCATCTGTCAAAAATCTATATATATAAAAATTAATGTATGTCTGTGTGTGTATGTTCTGTATTCATAAATCATACGTTCCATTGCTGTGAAAATTTTGGAAACTATTAGATATGTACCCGGACAGGTTTTCAGATATTTTGATTGACCTCACGTGGAGGTTGGCCGCACCGTTTTTTTTCATTTTTTTTGGTCAATTTTCATTTTTATATAATGCGTATATAACAACACATTTAACGCTAAATTTTCAACCTACTATCACAAAAATCCTATTTTGTATGAATTATTATATAATAGTAATTACATAATTTTTATAAACCATGCATCCGATCCCCGTGAAAATTTCGGTAAATTTTAGTATTCCCGGACGCCCTGATTTTTTTTATTAAATTTTCATTGTCATTTTTTAATGTCTTTATAATGCTTATATTAAAAATACATATAGCCCTAAGTTATCACCAACTTACCACAAGCCCCTATTTTGTAATAATTATTATAGCAATTAAATTATTTTTTATAAACCATACTACCAATCGGCGTGAAAATATGGGAAATTGTTAGGTATATCCCTGAATAGGTTGTTGCATATTTTGATTTAAGGGTTGGCCACCCCGATTATTTTTTTATTTTTTTGGTCAATTTTTATTTTTTTATGAAGAAACACAAAACTAAATTTTCACTCTCTTTCTACAAACCACTATTTCGTAAGAATTATTATATTAATTATATCATCTATATTATCTTGATTTCTGTCAGTGAACGTTTTTGAATGAATTTCGATTGAGATTTTTCAAAGTTAATGAAAATAGCAAATTTTTATTACGGATTGATCACCTCTAACATTCAAAATCATTAATCATTAATTTTTTGAAGATATATTTTTTTTTGACAGACATTTAATTATATTATATATAGATAAGTAATAGTTTGAGTGAACCAGGGAGATACAGACAGCGTTGAAATAGGTGGAGGAGTGCGGCAAGGATGCTGTATATCATCGATCCTATTCAACCTGTACGGGTATGGCTCGTCAACGAGACACTTTAAGGCGCAGGAGATTTTTCGATTGGAGGAAGAAGAATCACCACTATAAAGTAAGCTGATGATGTAGTATCATCATAGTAAGTAGTGATATTGAAAAACCAAACCGAGCTGCAAAACATGATAAGCAGAATCGTCGAAGTGGGTAGATGATACGGAATGGAAATCAACCTAGACTAGTCGAAAGTGATGAGAATCACAAAAAGAAACAATTCCTTGAGAATTACGGTAGAGAAAATTGAGAATTGAAAGACGTGAATCATTTCAAATCTCTGTGAAGCATACTGACCAGAGACGGATACTGCACGAAAGAGATCAGGACAAGGATCGCAAGCACCAAGGCAGCATTCACGAAGAAGTGAATGCTACTGACGAGCAAACTGAGTCTCGACTTGCGGTAGAGATTAATAAAGTGCTACCTACGTCTGGAGCATAGCTCTGTGCGGATCGGACACATGGACTCTAAGAAAGGCCGATAAGAACCATCTCGAGAGTTTTGAAATGTGGTGCTGGAGACGAATGGAAAAAATAAAGTGGACAGACAAAAAAACAAATGAAGAAGTCCTGAGAATAGCTAAGAAAGGACTCTACTGAGCACATATCTGAGAACAAATTGGATCGGACCTCTTTTGCAAAAAGAGTGCCTCCTACACGACGTCGTCGAGGGTAAAATAGAAGGAACAAAAGGAGTGGGAAAATACAGGAAACTGAAACTCGAAGCACAGGATCAAAAAGTATGTAAGCAGAAGTTTGGAAAGGAAAATACATGAAATAATAGGAAATAATGGTAATGAGAATGATAGACGAAGGGTAAGGAAATCATTTATTTGTGGTGGCTCTTACACGATGTACCTGCCTTCGGGCAGACTACCATTTATTATTATTATTATAATTATACAGGGTGCTTCAAAAAAATGTATACACACTTTGAACTTCCATAGAAAATTTATTTACCGTTCTACAAAGTTAAATTTCAGGAAAATGGCAAGCTGAAAGTCCAATGTAAATGAAACATAAATAACAAATGTTAATGAAAACTCGATTGCCCCCCTGCGTCCTATCCACTGGCCTGACAAATTTTGATCCAAGTAAGATCGTACGTCCCTGTCGTCCCTGTCAGTCTCTGTGATAGTGCGGGGCTAAATGATGCTACCCATAAATCCCGGTTCACGTTTCACCATCTCCTGAATCCATTCACAAAATTGCAACCTTGTGATGTACAGAATCAGTGGTGACTCGTACTCAGAATTGTATTGATGATGCAGGTCACCAATTTGAACAGTATTAATATTTGTTATTTATGTTTCATTTACATTGGCTTTCTATTTTCCTGAAATTTAACTTTGAAACTGAAATTTTCTATGGAAGTTCAAAGTGTGTATGCATTTGAAGCACCCTGTATATAGATACGGCGGAATTAAAAAGTAAATATAAATATAAAAATAAATATAAATATAGGGTAAATCTGAAAAAAATCATTTTATTTAATTGTTTTATGATATGCATTGTTAGTCTGATTTTAAATTCAACAGATTTATAATTGTTTTCTATGGGTATGCTAAAATGTACAGATATGCAAATATTTTCAATTACGATTTTTTGCAATTACTATAACTTACCCTACGAGACGTTAATAAAGAAAATAAACCGTACCTTTATTTAAAATAGTTTTTTCAATTGTGTATAGATTTATCTGAATCAAAACAAATATGAAGTAAATAACTCGGTTTTGTTTAATATAATGAGTCGCCATCTTTGGTCAATAATACGAAAGAACAGCAGGTGACAAGGGCGAAGCCGTTCACCATTTTGTCACTCGCCAAGTCATGGCGTCTAGCTAAGCGAATATCCCGTGCAATTGGTGTTTTAATTTTAATTAGTGGAAAACTCCTTTCGAGGCGTTGAAAACCGCTAAGAAAATGGAGGAAAAACGCGAAGAATTATGCTTGAAGCGAATCTGTCGGTTCTGCATGACCCAGGAAGAACCATTGACAAACATATTTGAAAAGGATTCACCCGCAGAAAATAACGCGGTGCCGTTGCCTTTACAGATTATGGCTTGCGTTTCTGTTGAGGTATTACTGAAATTAATGATTTAGTTAATTGATTTATTTTTCGTTTTAAGTTTGCGCAAAAACGTAAACAGACTGTTTTGTTTGTATGGTTTGCTTCTCTAATCTTGGAAATGACATTTTAACTTTGCGCCATCGAATTAAGAAATGGTTTGTTTACTAAGTGGGTATTTTTACCTTTAATTCGCTAATGGTAATGGTACTTTTGTTTATAATAATATACTAAAAATATTAATGCTCAAATAAGCACTTTGATCACAATTGGCCTTTCTCACTCATCTACCATGAGTTTTCCAGTTACTAAATTCAGTACATGTTTGTTTTATTAGAAACTAATGTTTCTGTTAAATTTGCATGTTTACAAATATTACTTATTTATTATTTAGCATTTTCTTATGAAGAATATGACATCATAAAAGGAATTAGGAAGGAATATGAAGGCATAAAAGTTTAATTAACTAAGATGCTCATCGACTTACAATTTAGCTTAAGGGCAAGGAATGATACTTTTTGCATTATGCATTGAGAGAATTATATATATATATATAGAAGTTTTTGTTCAAACGGCATATTCATTACCATCTGAAATAATTATTACATATTTATACATATATGTATGTATATATATATATATATATATATATATATATAATTGCATTTATAATGCTGATAAAATTAATTAGAAAAAGCATAAAAGTGGGTCTACATTATAAAAGATTTACTCACCTGAAATTTGTTTTGCTTTTGAGCTGAATAATTTATTCAAAGGTCTGGGATCAAAATATAATTCATTAGTTATGTTCTGCGAATCTTCTGTTTTGAATTTTATATTTGCTCAAACTATTTATTAAATTTTTGGTGACAATTTATTTCTATTCGGAATCTAATGTTTCAAACTTATTTGGTACAAATATATTTATATAATATTCATATCACTATATTTACAATTTGGATCTACTACAACTAATACATAATATCAAATTTATATTTGAAACTTGGAGAAAATCTTTTCATAATGAAGGAATGAATTGTAACAACTTGAATGAATGAATGATCTCAAATAAGGCATTAATATTAAAGGTTTAATTTAATAAGTTGCTCAATTGTTTGAGCAGTTTTAATGACTGTATAACATTCTCAACTTTTTATTTATATTTACAGCACAATATTGGCTAGTTTTTTTTCTTTAATTTTATTCAAGCAAATATTTCTTCAGCCTAAAAGTAGTTAGTCATTACAATACAATTATCAAATCATTTTAAAACAAAGGTGAATAAATTATAATTAATTATGTGACAGCATTTGCATTCATTTTTATAGCAAATCTTGAAAAAGATTATATTAATATTGAAATTTAATTTTGCTCAAAAATAATCTACATTACTAAAAATTTTCAACATATCGCAGAATTGAATTCAATTTTTTTCAATGATTTAATGATTTAATGATTTATTCAATGTTGATACTATTGTAATATTGTTTCATCTTATTTTTTTTATAGGTCTTTTATAATGATGGAATGCCAAGGACTATATGTAGCCCATGCAGAATATTGATGGATAGATCTTATCGATTCAAACAAATTTGCAAACAGAGTGATAGTGCTTTGAGGCAATATCCAAACACTGGAGTTTGGCCTGAACCAATAAGTTTGCCGGATGATATTTTTGAGGTATTCAAATTTGACAGAAATTAAAACGTTAATTTGAATTATATATTAGTTTTTTTCCAATAATTGATGTTGAAGATGATGATAAAACTTTCAAGTTATACAATATAATATTGTTGTTAATAAAATTTTCTTCATTCAGACAATACAGGTGCAAAATCGAAAACGTGGTATTGATGAGGTGGAAGAGGATTCCAATGAGACTGCAGAGGAGAACCCTCCTTCACCAAAGCAGGTTAAAACCTATGTGGAGCTCAAACCAGTGACAAGGAATAGAAATAGGACTGAAAACAAAGCAACTAAGAATGATGAAAATAAACCAAAAATTTTGAATCTACAAGCTGGAACTACTACTACAGAAGTATCTAAAGTTTTAAAAATCGAACGCAGAAGTACATTGAACGATGGAAATACAGAACAATATGTGCTCAAGGAAGATTTCTATGGTACATATTTATGTTGTTAATTTGAGATAGTAAAAATTTTTTTCCATGCAATATTAGGGTAAGGTGGGCATGTTCTTTCATACCCCCCTGTTATAATGCAAATAACTATGATTGTTTATATTTATAATGTTAATATGCAGTTTAGACAAGTTTATAAGCATCCAACTTTAAATAGTTGTCAACATCCAAAAGGTATGGGCAGTTTTCATACAGAAGAAAAATTCCAGGTCTCACTATGGTATTTTTTGAGGTCATTTTATAGCATTTTTCTAAAAAAAAAGGATATGCTAATTTTCCACTCTCTAGCTTATCATCTGGCTGAGATATCTCCTTTCTCAAAATCACATTTTGTCACAACTGTAAAAGATATCCAAAAATAAATAATGTGATTCTATTCAGATTGATGCAGACTATATTATTAATAGCAAATATTGCTAAATAATAATTTACTAGTGTGTCAAAAAGTGAAAAAAAAATATCTTTCGAATTTTCGGATAGTAAGGATGGATTGATTTTTAATTAGCTTATTTAGAAAGGCTATTCATTTTTTTGTACTATTCTTGTACTAAAAGACCATTTAATAAAATATAATGAAACAGTTGAAAATCAAATATATACAATGTTAAGATTGTCTACTACTGCGATGTACATATTAACATTAACTATTAGCTAGTTGACGTAACTAATATTTACACCTTACACATAATATAAATGTAAAACTTAATTTTGTAGTTAATTGTGACTTAATTTGTAAAATATGTAAAACATAGATATATTTTTTCCATTTGTTTGTATACTGTTTTTACTGACATCACCATAAACGTAAGTTATTTTCTTATTTATGATTTTGGATATAAAAATAACTTGATGGTATTTATCTGCACCAACTGTACTGAAAGAGTTAATATTGTTTTTATAAAAAAAACTTTCACATTTTACTCCAATTTTCCAGAGAATTAATACTCTCACTCAATTCAACTTTTTTTTTTTGTTGCTCATATAAGATCATGTTCTCACTCAATTTCTACAAAAATCATAAAATTTATTTTATCATTTAGACTATGATGATAGACCAGCTCTTAGCGATGATAATCCCAACAAGCCAACAGTTTGTGTTGAAACTGATGTCTTTCCTTGTGACCATTGCGATAGAAGTTTTCCTCTTCAACAATTATTGGACATCCATATGCGCCGTCATACCAGAGAAAGAAAATATCATTGTGATCAGTGCTCAAAGAGTTTCTTCAGTAAATATGATTTGGCAAAACATGCCAATGTACATAGTGGTGAGAAGCCTTTTACTTGTGTTGAATGTGGGAAGGCATTTGCAAGAGCTACACTCTTACACAGGTAATAATAATAAATAAATAGAAAATTGAAGAGTAAAGCTGTATTTAAATTTTATTATAATAGGCTGTAAAAGTTTAAGATGATGATTGTAATTGTAAATGCTATCAATAATGACTGTTACTGCTGAGTTCAGTGTCTGGAGATTATTTTTAAATATTTGCATTTTTTTTTTTAAATTATTAATCTGTATTCCTAAATTTAGTCATCTTCTCTATAATAAAGGTGAGAGTGTACCAGTAATATGAAAATCTCGCTATAAGAAACTCGGATTTAATGAATAAACCATGCTAATTCCTAGCGTGTTCTATGTAAACCAGATATCGCGTTATATGGTAAACGCGCTGTAAGAAACTCAGAATAGGCACAAAAATTATATCATTTTTTTCATCTTATATGGAGACTAATGCATTCAAAAGACAGAATAACTAATAAGTCGTTTTTATTGAATTGAATTATTCATACATCAAAAAAGAAGTATGAATCATTTTTATTAAATTTATGGGTATATAGGATATGATAAAAAAATTGACTTATTTAGAAAGACAAATGTGCTGTGAAAGAACTCTAAAGCACTACTATACAAATATCGTACACGTCTATGATATAATCTGCCTCGTTTATATTGTGAAAGATAAAATGCTCTATAATAAATCTTATATTAAAGCCTCTTATAATATCTAGTTATTAGAGTCATTCGTGTTTTTCTTATTTAGTGTCTTTATTGATTTTCAAATAAGGTTAATTTATGTTTTGAATAGTTTTATTCTATATATTTCTGCTTTCTAGGCATGAAAAAGTGCATGTAGACACTCCCAAGTTCTTATGCAGCACATGTGATAAAACATTTTTATCATTAAACGAACTAGATAGACATGAAAGTAATCATCGCAAGACAAGAATGTTTGAATGTAAAGAGTGCAATAAGACGTTTGCATATAAGCAGGGATTGGAACGTCATTCATTTGTACATGCTGAAGCTAAACCTCATCAGTGTCATTACTGCAATGAGGTAAGAACTAATAACAAAGAAGGACTAATTTTATTAGAAATCATTTTCATTAGTTTTATATAAATATTTGTTGAAAATTAGTAATTAATTGTATATAAATTTATTATTTCTCAGAGTTTTACAACTGATGGTAAATTAGCAAGGCACATTCGCAGACATGCTGGATCAAGGCCCTATCCCTGTAGATATTGTCAGAAATCTTTCTTGCTTTCTCATCACCTGACTAGACATATGAAAACATCTCATGCAAATGAAGATCAGAACAGGCGAAATCGTTCTGAACAAATGATTACTAGAGGATCAGGTAAATGTAACTAACATAAGATTTGTAATCTATTTCAACTATAACATTCAACAGTTTTTTACATTCCCAAAGGAGAAGTTTGTTTTTGCCAGAAAATCCGTCTTGATAATTTCGTTTTCTCGGCGTTCGAAAATCGTTTCAGACCTAATTTGAAAAAGTATATGTGAGATATGTGAGTCGATCTTTCGTCGACGTTTTCTCAAAAAACCCTGAATCGATTTCCAAAATTTAAGAGCCATTATATTATACTCAATAAGGACTTGTGTTGTTTATATTTTGCGAGGCTTTGCAATTTCTTTAGAATGACAACAAAAAACTTCAACCCATTTTAAAATTTAAAAATCGTTTTGAAATTTAATAAAATATATTATGCTGATTAATTCAAGTAATGATAGACGGGGCTGTTTCTTTGTAATTAAATGTTAAAAAAAATATTTTTTGGTATTTTTTAATGAAATATACCATGACAATAGAGTCTAAAGCCTAATTGAGCATCCTAAAATATTATAGTTCTATGAACAGCAATTAAATTATAAAATTTTATTATGGTTTGAAATAATGGACTAATAATAAGTAGTATTTGCAATATTATTTATTAAATTAACATAAGTTTTTTTTTTAAAGATATTAATTAGTAATCGTACTTGATTAATTCTTTGTGAAAGCAAAGTTTTATTTTCAAAATTAATTTAAACATCTTATTTAAATAGCCTAAAAAGTTTAAAAGCTCAAAACAGTTTAAAAGCTAAATATCATTTTTTTATTGATAAATTTGATTATTAATATTAATAAATTATTGATAATTAATTTTATTGATAAATGGGAACTTTCATTGATGTTAAACTTAATCACTTACTTTATTGATTTAAACAGGTGCAAAAAATACTAATTCTCAATCGCCAGAAGCACGGAGACCTCGTCCTAGGATTCCAAAGGTTGAGCAGATAGATGAATTCAAATGTGATGAGTGCGATATGAGGTAAGATATTTCAGATAACCATTTTATTAACTTCCCGAAGGTGAAGATTATGTATTCATAAAAAAATCCGATTCGCTAATTTTATGTTTTCTCGATGTCTTAAATCATTCTGAATCAAATGAGACCAAATTTGGAAAACGTATGTGTTTGTGTACGCGTGTGTGCGTGTATGTGAACATATTTTTTGCCGTCAATTGACGTTTTTTCAAAAACTACTGAACCGATTTCAAAAATTTAAAATCCATTCGATATATCTCGATAAGGACTAGCGTTTATCAATTTTGCGCGACGATCAGCCAAGCCGTTTCTTTGTAAATAGCATCACAATGAAAAAAAATCGTCCACGTTTTAGCCCGCAATTCTGAATCGATTATGAAAATTCAAAAACCGTTTGAAAGATATTAGTTGGGAATGATACCGATTACTTTTAGGTGAAAATCTACCGAGACGGTTTCTTGTAATTAACTATTGAAAAAAAATTTAAGCCGATTGTCATGGAACTTGTTTTGGCGATATATATCATGGTCTTATATTACTTACTGAAATATTACGGTCTTACGACAAGCAGTTTAACTTTAAAAATACATCAAAGTTTGAGTAAACGAGTAGTTTTTTTGACGTTTGTTAAAATTAAAATTAGACGACTTACTTAATATAACGATAGAGTGTTCGTTCGTTTTCATTGATGTGTAATACATCCACTCGGATATATATATATTTTATTGATTAAGTCGTTTATATACACATATCTGGAAGTTCATGTAACTTGCCTCAAGGCAAAATACCAATACCAACTAGTTTTACTTTTAGTGATGTTCATAATATTTACTTAATATTCTGTTGCAAAGCTTAGGCCCAAAATAAATGTTTTACTTAATTTACAAAGCAGTATGTTGCAGATTATGTTAGGAATGATATGTGATATGTAGAATAGTGATTTGCTTCAGTGTCCTTATTTTTGGACCCCCCCTTCCCCTTGGTGATACATGGCGATATTCAAAATTAACCCCCCCCTCCTCCACCAAACATCACGTGTATTTTTAGATACGTGAAAAAACTAATTTTTTAGATTTATTTTTGAAAATGTTTGAATATTTTTCAAAAAATCCCTCCCTCCCCCACGTGATATTTTGTGATTTTTTGTCAAACCCCCCTCCCCCTAAAAACCTCACGTGATTAATAGACGCCCCCTTAAGCCATGAAAAAAGAATTTGGAATAATAGGTTCATTTTTTGGGGCATACACCGTGTTCGTTTTATGTTGAATAATGTATAATATTTAAATTATTTGGCAAAAATAACTCATTTTTTTGGCAAATCTATACAAAATTGAATAGCCTGTAAAGAGTTCATAACAATATAAGGCTGTACATCAACTCGATATACTTTTATAAATCACTTAAATTAATACATCTATTGATGTTTTATTGATTAAGTTAGTTATTTATGGATATTGGTAAGTTCAAGAAACTTGCCCTAAGGCAAAATGTCACTTACACCTACACCTGTATTATATATATTAGTATATTCAATTATTTGCAAAACTGCTAATATAACTTTTAGGTTTGAAACGAATGATGAATTAATATATCACTCTGCTGTTCACGCCACACAAAGCTTGACCTGCCCATTATGTAATGAGAAATTTACAGATTTGGATTCATGCACCGAACATATAAAATCACATACAGAAGGTAATTGATAATGTCTTTATATACAATAAATAATGGTTTTTATAATTTTAAATATAATGGTTATTAATTGATTTTGTTTATAGGTGAACAACATCCTTGTGAATTCTGCGATCTCATATTCAACACTGAGGAACAAATGTTAGAACATTCAGAAAATGCGCATCAGGGCGATGAAGATGAAGAAAATACAAACGATGGTGAAATGGGTATTCACAATATCAAGGAAGAAGTCATTGAGGAATCGGTTCCAGAGGAAGGTGAAGAGAATGAAGGTGAAATGTTTGAAGACCCTCTTCGAATTTTAAATTCAATTACAAAATTGAATAGCAATAAAACTAAAAATAACAAACAAGATGGAAATAATAAAATTAATAAAGAAGCAACAAGTGGTTCTGAATCACAACCAGTTAGAAGAAGTATGAGGTCAGGTCGAAAAGATTATGCTAAGATGTTGAAATTGGATGATGAAGCAGATTCTGAGGAGGAAGAAGAGGAAATCGATGATGGACAAATACAAGACGAAGATAGTGAGAGTGATGTTGTTTTAGAGAAAATTAAGAAGAAAACGGATGGCAAATCTTTTGATGGGAATAAAAATACTAAAACTGAAGGTATGTTGATTATTAATAATTATATTAATAACTATATCATTTGATTAACCACTTTGGTACGGCGCCTACTATGTCCACGAAGCTTCGCTCACAGCCGGCGTACTACACCGGGGTACCATTAACTTTACGCGCGGATGTACTGGCTCTGGTTTGTTCAATTTTTCAATGTGTTCCACAAATTAGATTTGAACAATATTTGCAGTTCTAAAAGAAAAAACAACAGGCTTTCGGATAACGCCAATAAGAAAGTAATTAAACAAAACGCACTATCCGAAAACATTAATTGAAAAAATATTTTATCCTTTTTAGCTAATAATAAATGATTATTTAGTATCAATTAATCTACATTATGTGGTCTAAGCCAATGTGAGTAGAATCATGTAATTTCTTTTTTGATATGGTTACTCCAAAAAATTAGTTTGCAAAAGTGTCCCTTTAGCATATTTTCAATGGTATAAGGTGAGAATCAAAGTTGAAGTTTGGCATATCGGATGTTTTCAAAAAGACCTTCAACATAGCGTATAAATTATTCAGATACAAGGGTGGAGCCGATTATGTGTAACAATGCGCTCATACCCTTGTACATTGTGACTATTATGTACTCGACTGGTAGACCCTTGCAACCGTCTGAATGGTCTGCCTATTTACATATACTTTCTGAACAGTTAAAAGAATACACCCTCAAAATTTGAGCCTTGTGGGAGTAAGTTATGAAAAATTTTTTTTTGACGATTTTCAAAAATTGATGGGATGATAACGCAACCGCGGAATGACTGCCAGGCTGGTACTTTCTTGATGGACCGATAATAAAATATCATTGAAAAAAAATCTAGCTTTGTGAAAACAGGTTTTAGTCAACTAGCTCTAAGACTATCAAGTGAACTTGCCGCTTGTACCGAAGTGGTTATTCAGCAATTTTTATACGAATATAGTCTTCCTATCATTATGATATTCTCTAAATTGTCTTTTTATTCACCAGCTCCTAGAATATTAAATTCAACTCTCAAGACCACCATGAACGCAATACCCGAAGAGAAAAAAATACTTAACAAAAATATCAAACAAATGACACCAAGATCAACTAATCCTCCAAGGTTATTGAATCCTGGTGTAGCCAAAGTTAGTGAAACTGCACCTGAAAAGCAAAATGTATCAAAATCTATAGATTTACCACAAGTATCAGATGAAGATAAGAAGAATACAACATTAAGCTTGAAAGGAGATGAACCGAATGAAAATAATATAACTATAAGTTCTACACCTGCCAAGTTGACTAAAGCACAGCTGGCAAATGTTCCTAGACAAAGGTAAAGATTTTTAATTATATCACTCTATATGAATGTTATTTAAAATAAATGCATTACTGATTGTTGAACCGATTTCAACAATTTAAATGTCATTTGATTTAACTCCATAAGAACTAACGTTTATAAGTTTTGTGCGACGATCGGCGCAGCCATTTCGTTGTAATCAACAAAAAAGTGTATAATTTTTTGTCCATGTTTTAGCTCACAATTTTGAATTGATTTTAAAAATTCAAAAACTGTTTGAAAAATATTATTGGGAATCGCGGTGATTAATTTTTGGTAAATATCGGCCGAGCCGTTTCTTCGTAATTAAATTTTGAAAAAAAAATTTGACGATTTTGATGTGTCTTTGTATAACGCTAGATTTCGTAGTCTGAAATTACATATCAGGTCTATGATAGGTAGTTGAATTATAAAATTTTATCAAAGGTTGGAATATCACTATGAGCTTGAGCGATTCGAATCAAAATCAAAAGGTTACAGCTACTTATTACAGTTGACGTTCATACATAAATAGAAAACATTATTTGAACACGAAATCAATGAAGTGAAATGTGTTAAACAAATTAATTTAATTTATACAATTACGAATACTATAAGTATCTTTAGAAGAGATCAATTGGAAATCATATTGTTTATTTTTTGTGAAAGTGAAAATGCTATATTCCAATTAACCAGTTGAATATTTTATCTTAATAGCTCAATTTAAATTCTTATTGATTAAGTTGATTATGTATATATATGATTATGATTATGTATATCGGGAAGTTCATGCAACTCATCTTAAGGTAAAATACTGCTTCCTGTTTGTTTACAAGATATCAGTTGGAAATAGAATTAGTTTTTAATGAAATAGAAAATTTTATTTGCAAAATAAATCATTGAAAATTTCTTCTCGACAATGTTGAATATTGCTAATCTATTAACATTGATAATGTTAATTATTAACAAATATCAGGAAGTTTACGCTCAGTTTTAATTGTTCTTAATTAAATTATGGTTTTATTTGGTTCTGGTTATTTATTTCAACTAGCAAACAAATATTTGAAGTAAGTAAAATAATTTTCACAGTAAGTAGTATATAGCTTTAAAACTTAACAAAGCTCTGGTAACAATATCCATTCATTCTTATTTGTTTATATTTTAGAACCGAGATAGTGAAAATGAAAATAGGCGACAAAATGGTAAAAGTGCAGAAGATCATAATGACTAAATCAGAAGTGCAAGCAATGGCTCGTCAAGGCAAAATTGAAATGAAAGGTGGAGCTATGGTTCTAAAACAAGGAGCCAAGATTGTAAAGCCTTTAGCTGCTAATAGTAAAAGTGCCGAAGAAAGTTCAAGTACTGCCAAAGCAAATGTAGCTACTGAAGATGGTGAGAAGCAGACTGTTGAAACTCATTAAATAAATAAACTATGGGATAGATTTTTGCAATTTCGAGATATTTGGAAAGTTATCTCATTCTATTTTTATCAAATATCATGTTTGTTCATGCAATACATTGTTGTTATAATGTATTTAAAAAACAAAGCATACCTTTGGGTAAAATGATATATTTGTAATTTTATTTTATTTTAATTCAGACTTGAATTAATCTTCTTTGCGCTTCAATTTTTAGCTAAACGAAAGTACAAATTGTACAATTGAACCTTTTATTTTTAATGTTTTATAAATATTGTGTTAGCTAATTAGTTCGTGAAATATATATTTTTGTATTAGGTTGGTCAAACGTGTGCATAAGATGCTTTTTTATTTCAAATGTTTCTTTAAGGAAAATATGTGAAATTTTAACATTTTATTGATAATATTCACAGAAAAACTATTTTGTATGTAATAATCTTTCTTCGTATTGTTAAAAAATTTAGATTTAGATAGTTTAATATTATATATATATATATATATATATATAAAAGAATATATGTACATAGGTTTTTAGATGTTTTATCTTAATAGTTTTTTTTTTATTTTTATTAACACTCACAGCTAGTTCGAAAACTAAACTGATTTATTAGTTTTGCACTACAATTTTTCTATGCTACTTTCTAACTAGCTTTAATTGTAAAATATACTGAAAAATTTATATTCTGTTTACTGAAAATAGTAAAAATTTATTTGTTATATATACAAAATTATTTGCTAAATACATGTTGGCTGAAATTATTGCAATTTGCCGTAAAAATTATAATAATTTTGAAAAATTGTAACATCTGCAAAACTAATAAACGAATTATTTAATCATCCATTGGTTGTAGATATACAACCAGAAATATTGCTTTCGATTAAAATTAAATATATAATAAAAAAAGAAATTGATTTTCTTGTATTTTAATTACTAAAAATGAATTTTAGCATGGATTTTAAAAGAAATGAATTACAAATTTGTAATGGATGTATTTAAGCAGCTAATTCGTTGAACTAAAAATGAAAAACCAATTTTTGTCTTCTTCATTTATATATGTCTTGACTCTTGATATTTGTCATCATTCTCAATCTAAATTATAATTTGTTTTGCACAATGAATACAATTATAAACATATTATAACATTTAGTTGAAACTACTTACTACTACAAACATAACTATTATTTTAAAATAAAATATGAATATTTTAAAATAGTAATTGTTGCTCTGTTTTTCGTTAATTAAATTTTTCACATTGAAAAAATATTTGCCATTTATATTTAAATTATGATTTTTTAAAAGTAATGTGTTAATTTTATTGTATTATTTGAATATAAATTTATTGAATGATGACACATATCAAGTGTCAAAGCGCGTAAAGAGATCAAAATTTATCTGCCATTTTAAATCTGAGAAATTGTCTGCTATTAAATTTAATATTAAAATATAATTATATATAAACAATTGAATATTGTATAAATATGTATATAGCATACCTTGAACACTTAAAACTTACATTTTACAAGGACCCACCAAAATTAGCTTTATGTAAAAAAATTATAACTTACAAACTATTTGAAGAGCTTACTTTTATATTTATCATCTTAAAAAAATTATTTAGAAAATATAAATTTCTATCAATGTAGGCTCTTGAAATAAAATATAGGTGTTAATTTTTTAGTGTGTATATTGTAGGTCATAGGTATTTTGTAATCAAAATTTTAATGCTGAAAATTAACATAACATAATCTTGTATAATAGCGCATTGCAAAAAATACTATAAATATTACATATATATAATTATATAAATAAGTAATTATGTTTGATTAAAAAGGAAATTATCATTGTGGCTTATGACTCAAAATGTATTTTAACAACAAAGATATAAAAATATTTCAATTTAGAAAGCTTTTAAAGTTTTCGAAATTTTGTCGTTATGTTACATACAATTTTATATGTTCTCTAAATAATATTAAGTATGCATGAATTTAATTTAAGACAATATCATTATCAAACAATTGCTCTAAATATATGGATCAATGTTAATATATCTATAATAGAAATTTAGTAGAATAAAGAGAGCATATGAAAGTAATTGTTATATTTTATTATTTCTAAATAAAATTTAACTAAGGAATTAAGTTTTAAACAAATAGGCTGTTCGATATATAAAAATTATTTTGCTTGAACAACTATACAGAGCCATTACATTCGGATAAGATGACGATTTTCTACAATACCTACAAATTTACTTTCAAGAAAGACAAAAAAATAGAATTGGAAATATTCCATATAATTTTTAACTTGTCGAAGGAGAAGTTTGTTTTCATAAAAAAATTCGATTCGCTAATTTTATGTTTTCTCGACGTTTCAAGCCATCCTGAATTGAATGAGACCAAATTTGAAAAAAAGTACGTGTGTGTATGTAAACATATTTTTACCGTAAATCGACGTTTTCTTAAAAACGACTGGGCCGATTTCAAGAATTTAAAAGCCATTCGGTGTGTCTCGATGAGCACTATCGTTTGTCAGTTTTGCGCAACGATCGGCAGAGCTGTTTCTTTCTTTGTATCTAGCGAAAAAGTGTGAAACTTTTCGTCCACGCTTTAGCTCGCAATCCTGATTCGAGTTTAAAAAATCACAAATTGTTAGAAATATATTCAAGGTAACAATCTGATTAACTTTTAGTCTGATTAACTTTTTTTGCGATAGATATCATAGTCTTCTAGGACATACTGAAATATTACGGCCCTACGACAAGTAGTTGTTTAAAAAAAATCATCAGGTTGAAAAAATATTATAGTCAAAATTTGTGTCAAAAGATAAGTTGTTAAAAAATTTATTAAAAATTGGAATAATAAAGCTACAATTTTAGGACATACAAGTACGTGTCTATACTCCATATAATTAATATAATCACATAATTTAAATGTGTTTGAGAAAATTTTATTGGAAATTGCAATGCTTAGATTTAATTGATAGCAAGAAAAGTAAAAATAAAGTTTTCGCTTTTACTTAAAATCAAATCAATGCGGTTTTCAATTGATATGTTTCAAACAATCTTGAGGTTATTATAACTAATTATTATTTACTACTAATAATTTAAAATGTTTATGTCATAATTATTATTACTATTAATAGTAATTGAATAAATTATAGTGCACATGCACGAACTTGTATATTATAAAAGAGCCGCCCATTATTCCAAACCCTAATGAGTTTTTATAATTAAACCACTTTTTGAAAGTCTAAAATATTTTAGGATGTTTTGTTTGGGCGATGAACTCTACCACAAAAAAGTTGAACTTTTTTTATCATTAATTTCAAACAACTTCTTGACCGATCTTTGCCAAAAACTAATCAGCACGATTTCCAAATGATATCTTTTGCATAGTTTTGAATTTGTTGGAGTTGAAGAAAATTTTTCCACTTTTCTGCGTTTATAAAGAAACGGCTCTGTGGTCTTCCAAAATTAATCAACATGATTTTTTAGTTTCATGGCATTAAAGCTTTTGAAATCGGTTCAGCCTTCTTAAAAAAAAGCGTCGACGGAAGTTCAAAAATCAACTTGCAAACAAAAGCATATACTTTCTCCAAAATTGGTCTCAAACTATTAAGAATAACCATCGAGAAAACATAAAATTAGAATTTTGTTTGTGAAAATATAAACTTTTTCCTTCGGAAAAGTGAATATATGGTGGGGGTGGGTCGAAAGTGAAAGTATTGGTGAAAATATATTTGAAATAAAACATTATTATTTATTTATATTTTTATGATAATGTTTTTCTGTATATTTTTCAAAAACATATACTTTTATTTTAAATGATCAAGCCTGTGTTATTAATAAAACTCGAGTAATTTATATATTTCAAACTTTATTTTTCTTAAAACACAATATATTGTAAGAATCTTATAAGAATAGGCAAATGAATATACCATCTATAATATGTAAGTAATGCTAAATAAATAAAGACAAATAGAATTCTTAATCTTATTAGAATAATAATACCTATTTAGGCATATATAATAGGTATTTAATTACTTAAAATTTAATTCATCGTATACGAAACATCAGTCGATAATTATTTTATAAATACTTATAATAAATCTCTGCAACTTAATAATAAATCAAAAAAAAGATTTACGGTTGAGCCCGATATGTTTATGAAGGCACGATAAGAGAAAACATTTGGACCGTAGGCAGGATTTCAGCTATATTTAATAATCGATGAAATATGAATAAAAATGACCCAAAAATTAAGAGAATTAAGAATTAATTAAATGATATTAATAAAAAAAATTAATAGTGAATACTGGAGCTATATAGTCTTATACAAACTTGATTTTTGTTTTATCCTGAATAGTACATATCCATTGCAAAAAGTATTGAATGAAGAAAAATGAAAATTAGGTCTTGTGACAAATGTGATAATAAAATGCCAGGTGTAAAGAACAATTCATATGCCAATGATGCAAAAAGCACTATCCATATAAAGAAACGTTGCATTTTAGGTTTATGCATATGCAATATATACATATAATGTAATATATGAAAATATATTAGGTTTATGTATATGTAATATGTCAGATTTTTTTTGAAAAAAAAAAACGACAGTTTACAATTAGTTGGAAATACAAGACTAAACGATGAACAGCTACGATTATGTTTTATATATTTATATTATACAATTTTTAACCAAATATGTATAAACATGTAATTCTAGGAGAATTTTCTTCTAAAAAAATCAATTTTTAAATTATCAATAAAGTTTTTTCGGTATTGTATCAACGTTTCGTAAATCTATGGATTGTCTACTTCCTCAGGAATTGTCCTGACATAAAACGTGCTAAATAAAGCATTTTATGCTTTTCAATTAATGTTAAGGTTGCTAACGTTTCGAATTTATGACTTTTTTCATCATCGATGTGAAGTAAATTTAATTATAGGTATCATTTCATTTATCAAAACAAAGTTTAAATTTACACTGACAATGAAGCAAACCATAAAGTTTAGGTA